ACCTAAATCTTGTACATATAATAGGTAAAGAATTTGCCTTTTTTTAACAGATTTGCAAAGTTTCGTACCTATCATTTTTTTGTTACATGTGCCGTTTAATAAACATGTTATTATTCTGTTGCACCACAGCCAAATTATTAATATTTTCGGTCGTAAAAAAAATTAAAAAAGAATTAGTAAATCATTTCGATAAATTACTGAATATACTGATAATGTATCAAATCAGAAAGTTAATTATGTCGATTTTATTATTCTTAATATAATCCAGTATATATACAAAATTTTTAATATCTAAATTTTGATATTTGTTCCCCTTCTTTACTTACACAGTTACATTTCGAAGATCAATTGTTTTTTCAAATAAGATTTTGTCTGTATAATATTTTAATTACGATATCATTGAAGAGATTGTATATAAGGTGTAGTAAAAAGAAATCCATTATTTTTGCATGAAATTGAAGGCTTTATTTAGTATAATTAGAATGATCCGATTTAGGTCAAATATGCACCGTTTTGTTCGATAACTTGCCATTTTGAAGGTAATTCCATTATGCCTCTCTCATAGAAACCCTCGTCCCTATTGGCAAAAAACTGGGACAGTCGATTTTCACAAGCTTCTCTTGAGGCAAATTTTTCACCAGCAAAATTATTCGCCATAGACAGGAACAGGTGGTAATCACTTGGAGTCAGGTCCGGACTATAAGGTGGATGCATAAGAATCTCCCAACCAAGTTCTCGGAGCTTCTGGCGAGTCACTATCGATGTGTGTGGTCTTGCGTTATCCTGATGGAACACAATTCCTCTCCTATTGGCCGCTTCTGGGCGATTGCTTCCTTCAGACGGTCCAATTGTTGACAGTACAGGTCCGAATTAAGAGTTTGGCCGTAGGAGAGCAGCTCATAGTAGATGATTCCCTGCCAATCCCACCAAACACACAGCAAAACTTTCCTGGCCGTCAATCCTGGCTTGGCCACCGTTTGCGCCGGCTCACCACGATTCGACCACGATCGTTTTCGCTTGATGTTGTCGTAAGTGACTCACTTTTCATTACCAATCACTATCCGCTTCAGAAATGGGTCGATTTTGTTGCGATTCAGTAGCGATTCGCAGATGGAAATTCGGTCCATGAGGTTTTTTTGCGTTAACTCATGTGGCACCCATACATCGAGCTTTTTTTTGTATCCAGCCTTATTCAAATAGTTCCAAACGGTTTTTTGTGCAATGTTTAGCTCCTTGGCAATCGAAACAGTGCTTACATGACGGTCGGACTCGACGATTTTCATTATTTTATCGACATTTTCGACAATTGGCCTTCCAGAGCGTGGTGCATCTTTGACATCAAAATTACCGGAACGGAATCGACGAAACCAAAATTGCGCATGATTGGCTGTTACAATATCAGGACCATAAACACTATTCACATTTTCAGCCGCCTGGCTTGCGTTTTCGCCTTTATCGAAGAAAAACTGTAAAATATGGCGTATTTTCTCTTTGCTGATGTCCATCTTTGACGCGCACTCAAACAATACTGAGTCAAACAATCACAAAATTGTCTGAGAAGTTTTTTTAGTACGAAATCTTATCTTTCTAACGCTATCTAGCGTAATCCGATCGCACTTATGCAAGATCGCGAGATGCAGATTACTAAAGCTATCTATTGGAAAAATAATGGATTTCTTTTTACTACACCTTATACAATGATATTGCAAATTTTAACAAAAATATCTTAATATATATAATTGTTTGGTTTAAAAAAATATTTCTGAAGCCATTTAATCCACTTAAGAAAAGTAAAATCAACAAAATTTTCAAACAAAAATAATCTTTATTCTGTATTCCATCTATTTCCTATATGTGCAATATAAATCTTGTTTAAACGCATTGTGTGCGGCAGAACGGTTCATACAATTCTAAAAAACGTATATGATATCTGTTCTGCTTTACGATGACAAGCAT